ATTTCTCGGCTAGCCGAGAGAGACCAGGTTCACTCCCTTTCCATTCCTTAACCCTTTTGCCATATAAAGGCGTGTCAGGGATAGACCGACCGTGATGATGAATGGTCTGATTGTTGCCTGTCGGCTCCCATGATCGGGAGATGAATCTCTCTCTCTCTTTCTCGTGGCCACAACTACTTATCATCTTCCCAGAAACACACATAACAAGCTCAAGACTAATATGCGAACGCCTTGCGCGTTGCTATTGCTCGTTACGCTCGTCGCTGTCATAGATATTGCTTCGGCGCTGAAGAAAGCGACCATTTCGAAGGTGACCGCCCGAAATCTACTATCGTTAACTGGCCCAAATGATGACACGACACCCGATGAGAGCTTTCTACAGAATTCAGGCGCTGCACATTCAGAGAGCGCAACAAACACAGAATACAGGATTGCCATACCAGGATTGTCGAATATCGCGAAGCTGGCATCAGACTTCAGTCCACTTACTCAAAAGGTGGCGTTTCAGCTGTGGCTCCAGCAGCAGACAAGCCCCACCATCGTTTTCAATCTACTGAACGCAAAAATGCTCAAAAATATGGGGACGAATCTCGAAAAGAACACTGAACTGCTAGACTGGCTAAGATACACCATGGCCTACAGAGAGATGCTGGGGAGCAGCAAGTTTTATCCAGATGGCAAGATTTATTTGCACTTGCTGAACTTAGCCCCAGAAACCTCCCTTGCTTTTTTCTTCCAGTCTCTACGAAAGACTGCGGATTTGAAAATGGTGGGCGAAAACTTGCAAACGGCTCAGTATAAGTTGTGGTGGAAACTTAGAATGGAACCGAGTGATCTCGCCAAAAGTTTGGGAATTACGGAGCTGTTGGAGTCGGGCAAGGTAATGAGCGACCCGAGATTTATCATTTATTTCGGCTACGCAGAAGTGTGGCTACGGAAGATAAAACTCAATTGAAGGAAACATTCCTGACGAGGAATTGATAGTACCGTCGACAACACATGAATTTGCATACCGCATCGAAAATAAATGCATCAGGCGACAATACTGATGCATATTTTCAAGTGTGAATTAATGCATAAATGTGCCCACTCGTTTATGTGCACAGGAGTGTTTTCGTATGCGTT